ATCCACTCAAAAATACAAACTGCAGGCTGGGCGTGGTGGCTCACCCTTGTAATCCCAGCACTTTGGGAGGCTGAGGTGTGTCAAACACTTGAGGCTAGGAGTTCAAGACCAGCCTGGCCAACATAGTGAAATCTCATCTCTACTAAAAACATAAAAAATTAGCTGGGGGTGGTGGCACATGCCTGTGGTCCCAGCTACTGGGGAGGCCAAGCCACGAAAATAGCTTGAACCTGTGAGGTGGAGGTTACAGTGAGCTGAGATTACGACACTGCACTCCAGCCAAGGTGATAGAGGGAGACTCTGTCTCAAAACAAAACAAAAAACCAAAACAAACAAAAACAAAAATAGGAAAAAAAAAAAGTCCAGAATGCTTTCTTCACAACACTAATGGGATCATTTCAAACTATACCTTTAAAGACCTGGCATGGTATCTCAAGCCTGTAATCCCAGCACTTTGGGAGATCAAGGCAGGCAGATCACCTGAGATCAGGAGTTCAAGATCAGCCTAACCAATATGGAGAAACCCCCCATCTTTACTAATAATGCAAAAAAGAAAACATTAGCCGCGAGTGGTGGCAGGAGGCTGAGTCAGGAGTTGCTTGAAACTGGGAAGGTGGAGGTTGCAGTGAGCCAACAAAGTGCACTTGTAGAAATGATTTGTTTTTAGCTTCAGACCTTGTGATATGCCCAGGCCTTTTGAGGCTGTTAAGAATGAAAGTCTCCTTTCATTCTGTAACAAGAACTAAGCTTCTGCCTAAAACTTGATCCAAACTTAATTCAGAATGAATGAATCTGAAGGTGGCTTTGAGGCTTGGCTAGAAGCGTTTTTCTCCAGTGGGGTCACATGTGGAGCAGCAGGCGAGGCATGTGGAGGGCTGTGGCGTGAGCCGTGGGGATGAGTCGTGGCAAGCTGGCAAGGGGGAGGGGCAGCAGCAGCCTGGGAGTATCGCTGACTTAATTGTGATGCAGAGAAATTCATTACAGATAGGCCAGCTTCATCTAAGCCTTTCCAGATCTTGCCCAGCCACTTCACTATGAAGTGATTTGATCAGTTTCTTTTATTTTCTCATTAAAAAGTAGTCAGGCATAACCGACTACTCTTACAGTTTTAAAGGAAATGTAGCTAGAATGCTCTTTAAAGGACATTTCATTTTTGTCTGTATTAGTAAGAAATGACGACTCTCATAACTGAAATATAATGAATAGCAAGTTAAACGTATTGATATCTGACAAAAGACATTTAAGTGGTTTAACTGCACTGATGACAAACCAGCTCCTAATCTGGTTGACTCGATGGTTTCTGGTGAAGATGTACACCCCTCCCTTGCCCCCACACCCCTGCAGAACACCAAACCAAACTCTGAAGCATCTGCTTTCTACTGGAAGCCATTCAAAATGAGTTTACTGTAATTTGATCCATTGCACTGTAACCTTTACATTTCCACTGAGTTTATAACAAGTTAGATAAGCAGATTTGGTGCAAGCATTTTCCTTTCAAGCAGAACGGAAGGAGCCATCTTTCAAGGGTTTGGCAAGCATGGCAGGACCCAGAGGCAGGTAGCCACCCTGTTGAGCTGTGTGAGTTGACAGAAACCCCCCAGCTGAAGCATATAAGCTCCTTTGCAGCAGAGATTACAGCAAGTTATACTGCAGTAATGCAGTCTGATTCCCCAGGGCGGGTGTCTGCGCAGGCACAGGGAGGGTTGATCCTTGGATTCCTCCCTGATGAGGGCACAAGAGGAAACCTGAGCCTCCTTGGGCCTGGACAGGAGCCCACGAGTGCTGTAGGCAGGTGGCCCTGCAGGGGTGTCGCCTTCCTGGAGAATGGGTCTTCAGAAGCCAGACCCTAGTAGCAGGGCAAACGCCTCTGAAAGCTGCTGGTTCCTGTAACCTAAGTGTTGTACTTCTGCCCTGAGGCTCCCCGCCAGGGTCCACATGCCCAAGGAGTTCCCTCTCATTGGTGTACGAAGTTTAAAAATGTCTATGCATCTATGCAGAACTGACATACTTCTGCCTTCCTGGCCAGGACACACGGACCTGGTGGGTGGTTGTGGAAAGGCCTGAGCCAGCACTGGGAAGGAGGAGGGAGGTTCCCACTCAGGCTTTTGTGATTGTGCCCTTCTCCCCTTCTTGAGCCATACTTACATGCTACAGTTTTGAAATACCATTCACAGGAGTCATGAAGCAAGAAGCAACAAGTGGAAGGGTTAAGTAGAAGATTCCCAAGTTCAGGGGGAAGGGATTATTTCCAGGCCCAGTAGGGGCTGCAGGTCTTAGCCCGTGCAGTGGCAGGAGGACTCAGTGTGGACAGGACATGCCTTTGGCAGGAGGCACAGGTGGAGAGGGAGCTGGAGGGAGTAGGGCAGTGTGGTTGCCAACCCGCTTGGGGACTGCCAGGAACAAGAGCCTCAGGCCTCCCTGAGGGGCTCTAGTGATGGAGATACTGCCACATGGTCACAGAATGAGGTCCAGTTGTGTCACATCCCACAGAAGGGTCCAGGGTGGCAGCAGAGTGAACACCGTACGGGACGTTTCAGCGGCATCGGGGAACAAGTCAGGTTGTCCAGATAGAGTGAAAGTGTGTGCCTGGGCCACAGACATGGATGACTCCACGACTCAGGGCCCAGTAGCTGGAGGAGGTGCCCTGTGGAATGGGGGATGACAGATGGGGGTACAGTACCCGGCTGAGGAGGACCTGGGTGCCAGTGGAACTGCTGAGCCTACCCTCTGGGCAGAAGAACAGCACCAGGTGACTGAGAGGGGAATGGAACCTGGAGGCCAGCATGTGGAGTGCAGGCACGCCACTGCCAGGGTGGGGAGCCAGAGGAGCCCACCGTGTTTCTGGAAATCAAGCCTGGGAGGGAGGCAGTACTTCCATGAACACCAACACTGCGATCAGGAAGAGGGACAGAGTTGATCAGGAGTGGGAGCAGGGAAGGAAATGGCAGCTTTAACCAAGGGTCACCAAAATGCTGGACGGACACTCAAATGTGACAGAGCTGTCACTCACGCCACATCCCAAATACCTACGGTTTGCTGCTATGGTAAACGGGAGAGAATTTATGTTACTTTGTCACCAAGGCGCATGTTATGCTTTTCTTTACTGAAAACAAAAATGTCCCTGCTTTTTCTCCAAGAAAAAACTAAACACTCCCATAGAGTAAACAGCAATTAGGCTGAATTACGGCAGTTCTTTCTGTGAGTGCAATGTCATTATGCTGGGACTTAACTGTCATTACACTGTAAATACCTATCCTGGGGGGCAGTGCTGGTCCACGCGAGCTTGCTACCTTGGCATCAAAGATATCAAAGATATTTTGATTCTTGAAGGTTATACTGCAACTGTGTGTGATTTATCTTTTAGCTACATTGATCTGGAACCCTGAGTTGTGCCACAGCCCCACATGGCACTTGTTAAAATGCATGTTCTTATGGGGCCTAGGAGGGCACATTTCTATCAAAGAGCCAGATGGGGTCTGGGCCTCGTTTGAAGACCTTTGTTTTGTGGAGAACATGGAGTCAGTGAGCAGATGAGGAGCAAATCAAGGATGAGCTCGTTGGAGGAAAAAACAGAAGAAAGCACTTGAAACTGGGTTTCGTTTCACTCCCAAACTGCAGTCCACGGAAGTATTTCCTTCCAGTAACTTGAAAAACTTTATGAACTGTGTTTAAGTTTTTTACTCTCTAAATGTAATACAATTCTTCAGCTAAAACGGGAATAATGAGACAAAATGGTTCTGAAAAGTACAATAGAAAAATATTGTTCACTGGTTTATTTTTCCAAATGAGCAACAGGCTATTTACAAATGTGCAGATTTCCAATGATGTGTATTAAAATGGCAAGTCTATCCCTGTTTGAAATCTAAATGAAAAAAAATTTATTAAGGCACATCTGATCTGAGAATTTAAAAAACTAACTTCCTGGTATAATGACAGATTCACTTCACTTTTGTCCCCAAAATATATGAGCACCAAAATTGTCAAAGAACACTTAATATTTAAACAGGAATGTAAAAATTAAGAAGGGGAAAAAGCGTTTCCAAAAGGAAATCTTTGGAGAACGGTTTACTGCAAATAAAACATACTAAACACACTCCTGATACACATAAATACTACTAACTAACAGGTACTCAAGAAACGGCAGAGCTCTGAACAATGGATATTAAATAAATTAAAGGTATTTCAGATACAAAGGATAAAACAAAACAGTAATGAGAGCATGAAAACTATCTCCACCCACGTAACAGACAGGATGAAAGGAACAAAACCAGGTATGTTTTCCCCCAATGTTTTCACTAGGGGTGTGTGTGTGTGTGTGTGTGTGTGTGTGTACATCAGATTTATTATAATCTGATAATATTTTTGTCATTCTAAACATTAATATTTTAGCCTTTAAAGAGAAAGGCCAAGAAGAGAAAATGCCAAATCATCCTTGAAATTTAATGCCAGGTCCATTTAGGCTGAATGAACTACCACAAGAACGGCCCCATCTCTCACTGAGCTTTCCTCATGCCCCTTGCTTTAAAACCTACATGGCCGGCTGGACAGTGGCTCACACCTGTAATCCTAGCACTTTGGGAGGCCGAGGAGGGCGGATTGCCTGAGATCAGGAGTTTGTGACCACTATGGCCAACATGGTGAAGCCCCATCTATACTAAAAATAAAAAAAAAATTAGCTGGGCATGGTGGCGTGCACCTGTAATCCCAGCTACTCGGGTGGCAGAGGCAGAAGAACTGCTTTAACCAGGGAGGTGGAGGTTGCAGTAGGCCAAGATCGAGCCACTGAACTCCAGCCTGGGTGACAGAGTGAGACTCTGTCTCAAAAAAAAAAAAAAAAAAGCCCACCAAAAAACACCTACATGGCCAAGCCAAGCAGAGTACCAATGCTAACTCTGGAAAGCTCTCCTGAAGACAATGGTGAAACAGCTATTAATCACATTTCCTTATCTTACAACTGGAACAGGAAATGGCTTTAAAACACTTTAAAAAAAAAAAAAAGGTAGAATCTGTGCAATGTTAACAATCACAACAGAACATTTACCAGAGTTACAGTGTTTTGTTACAATAATACTTTGCAGGAATGTTCATGTTTTCTGCCATAGGACTGTAGCAAAGGGTCTCAAAAGAAAACATTTGTTTTTTAAAAAAGTTTTGTTCATCAGGTACATTTCAAGTCAAAGTTAAGCAGGTCTGCTACATAATGTTCAGCAAGAAGATGTGTTCAAAGGCAAACACTGACCACATTCTTGTTCAGGAAGCTCAATCTTAAAGGAGTACTATGTAAGAAAACCACTTGTAAAATATATCCTTGTATATGGACTTCAAAAACTGGATCATACAAAAAACTTTTGAAAAATAAATTAGATCATTAAAAATGTCTTTTCCAGCAAAGCTGGATATTAGGCTGTCCTTACTGAGCCATTATTATTGCCGCTTTTACTGTAACTTGGATCATTTTTTTCTAGCCACATCTCAGCCAGCTGCTGTGTGGACCCATAGGTCGATGCTTTGGACCCCAAGCACATTTTGTACTGTTTGGGGTCAAGATTGGGATCACAGAAGACAGGATGGTGGACGTGGACTACTCCTACTTCTTGGCTTCGAAACGTCTTCAAACCTGCCTGGACAACCTTGTTGAAAAGGTCCACATCCTCCAGCCCCCAGCCTTGGATTGAAACATCAAAGCCACCCACTCGGACAAGATCTCCTTTATAAATACATGTGATTCCAAACCCATAGTTTCTCCAGAAGCCAGTTTTCTGAGTAAAGGCAAAATGGTTGTCACTGGGAACCTTCCCACTATAAACAATCTTTGGGTCGTACTGGCTGAAGATGATTGGAAAATATATCTGTTGACCCAGAACTGTATTTGCTCGACATCGCTGAAGGAATTCTGCAGTAAACACGAGGTCAACATCGCAGAAGAAGAGCAGAGATTCATTGTTAAACTGGGAAGATCCTACTTCCAGGGCCAGCGCTCTTGAAAACTCTCCAGACACAGGCAAAATCTGCATGTCTGCTTTAGGGTACTTAATGCGGTAATCTCTCATCAGTTCAACTTGTTTGGCCTTGTCGGGGTTGGAGTCAGAATTGAAAAGCAGAACCACAAGCTTGACGTTCTGATTGGGGATAAGACACGTCTTCTCAAAGTTGCCCATAAATCTCACAAACATGTCAAAACGCCCAGACAAAGGGATCAGTATGTTTATCTTTTTATCTTTGGGTTCTTTGTGCTCGCTCTTAGACCCAGGGAGCTGAAAGGGGACAAGCTTCTTCAGGGAGTTCGAGAGGAAGGACAGGGATCCAGATTCCTGATTGATTCTGTTGGCCAACTCCTGTGCATCCAGCTCCTCATGCTCCACAAACTGGATCTTGCTGAAAGTCTGCTGTAAATACGCGTGCCTCCTCACAGGGACCGTCATTTTCTTCCCTTTGTGCTTTTTATATAGAAGCAGCAGGTCCAGGATGTACTCGGCCCCGTACATGGGGTTCACCCGGCGGTAGCCGTACTGGATCTCCTTGAAGTCAATGATGCGCCCTCTGGTCTTGGCGTTGGCATTGATCATCTCCATGACCTGCATGACAATGTCGTCCAAGGCTTCCCTCTGAGCAGAGTCCATTCCTCTTCGAGGGGGCTGGCCGTCAGCTGCTGAATACAAGTATTTTCCAGTCAGAAACTCCCATTCCAGAATCTCCTCTCGCTGGCGGGGCTGAAACCTCATGAAGGAGGGAGGGATTCCCAGCTGCAGGTCCTCCTTATGAATTTCTGTGTTGCTGTATTTGCTCATCAGGACAATTTCACGGTGCAGCTGTATGGTGCGGTGGCGGAGCTCGGCTATTTTGCGGCTGAGCATGTAGCTGTGGAGCCTGTACTGGTAGGGTGGGTTTTTGTTGGGGTGTAATGTGATAGCTTGGTGAATTTTACTATTATGGAGATCTCTAATGTACCCCTTTTTGTTCTGTTCATAATTCTCATAAAAAAGCTGCTGCATCTGTTAAGAAAAAAAAAAAATCACAATTTTAGTGTTGTATGACTGAGTGCTAGCACATGCTAGAGAAAATCCAAATATCAGAAATGTTTCTGAATGGGCCACAGCAAACAAAAGGCCCTAGATAAGGCCAATCAACAGCAGTCCAATGTGGTTAGAAGAATTAATAGATAAAAACTGCTTAAGGAAATAAGGCTTCATTAATAACCAAACTTGGCCAGTACAATTTTACAGGCAAACAGAATTAAGACAAGTTTTCCCCTAATGAAAAGGTTTAAAATTGAGATCACAGTGCACCATGTGAGCATGGCTGAAAGATAATGCCACCCCTTGTCCCAGTATTCCTGTGAAAGGGACCCAAAGACTCAGGTGTCCCCGGCTGAAGCCCTGAATAGCAGACCCTGTGGCTTCTATCTATGGGAATAAACTTCCTACTGAGAGGCAGAAGGAGAACTCCGGGAGGACAACCTGAACAAAGGATTACCTGCTTCCAGGGAGCTAAGGGAAAGGAAAGCCAATCGGAGGCAAGAGGAGGCCTGTCCCTGCAAGGACACTGCTGGGGTGAAACAAGGCTCTGCTAAGTCTCTGGAAGCAAGCACACGCTGAAAACCCCCTCACGATGCTGGCCTCCCTGGGGACTAGGGAGGTGCCCGCCCCCAGGGGTTCTGTGGAGGCAGGAGCGGGCCTGCTTGCTTAGCATGGGGTCTCTGGCATCAGGACAGAGCTTGGTGCCTGGGGGCTCAGAAAATGCTGGCAGATGGGAAAGGTGCAGGACGCACAGGGCTCACCCCTCCATCAACTCGCCCTCTGCCCTGTGGCACAGATTTTGGGACAGCATAAGCTTATGGTCATCAGCCAAAATGGGTTCCATCAGGTTAGGAAGGGAACTGCCTAATGCCTCAGTACATTCGGACAAGGATATGAACGTTTTTACAAAGTCTGTTGGCATGTAGAATAATAGTTTAAAATTTTTCAATGAAAGCATTTGAGGTTGGTTTCTGGGAAATTAGTCCTGTTTCTTTCAAGTTCATGGTTGTTTTTTCATATTGTTAAATACTAACTCTTGATAAGGGATGATACAGATTCTGGCTGACTGGCTAATCTGCCTCTGGATAATCATATTCTGGCTTTTTCCTGAGCCACTGCAGTCACCATAGTAGAGAAATACACATCGGCACTTTTGTATCTTATTTCCTTTTCTCATAAAGGAAAAAAGAAAACAGGGAGCTGGCATGCCTGCCATGCCCCGTGTGGAGCTGGCGTCGACCAGTGCTGACCTTTACCTCCTGGGCACCCGTGAGTCAGGTCTTAGAGCAGGAATTAGGGTGGAATTACAGGTCCCCCAAAGTGCCGCCGCTGTTTCCAACTTTGCTTCCCACACCACTTATGCTCCACATGGGAGGTGTACACACGGGCTTACCACTGAAATTACTGTTACCTGTACAATTAATTAGAAACGGTGGTCAGGTGTTCTGTGGTTTGGGGAGCAAAGCCTCCCTAGGCCAGGAGGAGAAACTCCGACTCTGACAGGGCACACTTGTTATGTGGAATTTTACATGCCTCTTCTGCTACCTACTATAAACTACAGGAAAGCAAATCTCAGACTCTTTGTTTTAAATAACCAGAGACAAAGAAGTAACCTGGGGCTTGCTGAGAGAAGGCCGCCAGCCACCGGTGCCACGACTCCTTCAAGCCCCGGTGGGCAGGCCAGATAAACACAACATGGAGATAAAGGCCCTGCCGCCAGGCTCAATGGCCGCGCTAACTTCTCTCTCTTTTTACTTTGCTCCTTAAGAAGTCTCATGAACTTCCTGCCCAAAGCATCTTTACTGTTCACTTTCTAGAGGGCTGATTCTTGAGGCTACAAGGTGGCAAATGTAATGTGAGAACTCAAAGTGATGAAGAAAGGTTTAGAAAGATTCTTTGCAGGCTCTAAAAACCTGAAGCAAATGTAGTCCTTCCTACAATCCTGTCCGGGCACTTGGGGGCACAGCAGTTACAAGCGGCTGCTACAGGGCCTCAGAACATGCTCCCAGGCTCTGGGAAGCCACCTTCCCATTTCACCAAGGCCAGCATTTGTAACATGTCTTACGTAACTCTGCATGCCACCAGACCCCACCACTGACTCCACCTGAGGACCCCATGGTAAGGAAAGCTCTCACACAGCAGAGAACCCACAAACCTACATGCTCCCTAACTGGGAGCTAGCACAACCATGACTGTCTGCCATACGATAAAAAGCTAGATAGCAATTTTGGCAGAGATTTTACATATATTTGTTTAAAGTATATAATTTCCAAATTATTAGCAATGAATATGAAGAACCATAATACTGTTTGTGAAAGTTCTCTCCATTTCCAAGCGTGTAAACACACTGAGCCATCAATTTGGCCTTCCGAGCCATCTTCTACAGTGAGGTGAGAACAGTCTGAGGCAGGTGCTGCCAATCCCATCTCCCCGTGTATCTCAAATCCTTCTCTCTCCAGCCCCACTGGGTCATGCCACAGCTTCCCTGTGGCTCTGCTTGCAGAATTCTGTTCCCCCCTCAACCTTGTTTCAAAACAGTAGCACGGAGGTATTCTTAGAGCACACATTGGAGACTTATGGCTACACAGATGGTAGAACTCACATGATTTTCTCCTCTCTTCCCAAATGCAGTGGATCCTTGAACAATGTGGAGGTTAAGAGTGCCAAGCGCTTGTGCAGTCAAAAACCCATGTATGAGTTTTGAATCCCCCAAAACTTAACAACTAATAGCCTACTGTTGACTGGAAGTCTTACTGATAATAACACATCTTTTGCATGGTGGATGAATTATATACTGTATTCTTACAATAAGCAAGCTAGAGAAAAGAAAATGGCATGGAAGGAAGAGTAAATACACTGACAGCACTGTATTTATGGATACTGTGAGTTGATATTGTCTCTTTATACAAGATCAATCGTCTGTATCTGAAATGGGTGGAGGCTGCAGGCTTCCATCTACAGTACCCAGTGAATGACTCAATTTATTCTTGTAATGTCATGACTTTGCTCTGCTTCTTGGGAGCACTTACTGGTACTTTTTTTTTTTTTTGAAGACAGAGTTTCGCTCTTGTTACCCAGGCTGGAGTGCAATGGCGCGATCTCGGCTCACCGCAACCTCCGCCTCCCGGATTCAAGCAATTCTCCTGCCTCAGCCTCCTGAGTAGCTGGGATTACAGGTATGTGCCACCATGCCCAGCTAATTTTTTGTATTTTTAGTAGAGACGGGGTTTCACCATGTTGACCAGGATGGTCTCAATCTCTCGACCTCATGATCCACCCGCCTCGGCCTCCCAAAGTGCTGGAATTACAGGCTTGAGCCACCGCGCCCGGTCGAGATCACTCTTTACTGCCATATGCAATTTCCTGGAGAGGTGAACTTCTCTCCAGGGGGAGAGGATTAGTGTCATCCAGCTATTTCAAGTCTATATTCACAACACTTGAGCTCACCACAATAGCAACAGGAAGTAGCTACTGCAGTCACTACAGGAGTACAGTATGGATGAGTTATTTTATGCAGTTCTGACTGAATACTGCATCTCAGTCCTCTCGGTTTATTTCCTTGATAAATACATAACTCTCAAGTTCAGTTTTTCCACAAATTATACCCAAGCACAAGGAAGTGAGGCACAAGTCTGATAATGGGGAGATGGAAATTGGGGGACCTGAGCAGAATCCTGCCCTCATATCCCACCTGCCTCTCAGAAAACTTACCCCACTTCCCACCCCAAACAGGAAACTGGAAGACTTTTCTGGATCAACTAAACAGTCCCATAGATTCCTGCAGTCTGCCAACAAAAAACATCAAAAAGCTGGATTATTACAGCAAAGGTACTAGTTGTAAAAACCTCAGCTACGTAGCTTCTGGTCAGCTTTTCAATGCTTCACTCTCTCATGAGAATCAACAGTTAAGGATCATCAGGCAGCTGAAAAAGGGAACATTCCAAATAGGAACAAGGGAAACAAAGCCGAAGCAAAAAGAAACAATGCAGTGACCAGAAGAACAACTCAACAAAAAGCCACAATACAGTCATCAAAGGGAAGATACTGCATCCATGCAACAAAAGCAGTACCATAAACAAGAACATCAGGAAAATCCCTCAAAAGCAAATACGAAACAGCAAAACAAGGGAGTCTGAAGAGAGAGAATTCCCTAGAAAATAACGATTAAAAAAGACAGACAACAGGAGAGAAAAGTATTGATTCTAGGAACAAAAAACACATAGAGAAAACAACAATATAAAAAAATGGATCCAGAATTAAGGAACTCAGGTGCCTGGGTTACACTCTAAGAATCCAGTATAAAAGCAGAGGTTCAAAAACCACAGGATAAAGCAATCTAAAAATTTCCGAAGAGGAGGGAAAAGGGCACATAAAATAATCAGAAATTGAAATGACACAGGTTACAGACAACACTACTGGAAGCTGAGGAACAATGCCTCCAAAAGTGGGAGGAGAGGAAAACTGTTCTCAACGTGGAATTCTCTTTCCAAACTATATCCATCAAGTGAGGAGAAAGAGTTGTTCAGGACTTAATTTTACTTTGCCTTCATTCCTTCCTAGGAAGCTATTAAAGGATGTGCTCCTCTAAAGCGAGGAAAGAAACCTGAAAAGGAGATGACAGGATCCAGGAAACAAGATGAACAGCCCAGAATGACTGTGCAAGGAAGAGCCACACAGACAGCTCTGCAGCAACTGTGGGAACTTGTGCAAAGCAGGGAGGGTGTGGGTGCTAAGCCTGGTCTCTAGAGTCCAGCTCAGTGCTTGATCCATCAAATTCATAACAAGTGAGGCCTGTAAGCAGAGCAAGTATGGAGAAATTGTTGAATGACACCAATACAGAAGGAAACAGCTGATAAGGACAGACATGATAACTTATACATGCTCAACAGTATGCAAGGACAAGGCTGGGCTCCTCTGACCAGGATGTGTTTTAATATGCAAAAATCAGTAGCATATTCAAAGAAAAAAACATACAA